TGCATGATGCCAGGTTAACACTGTTCTACCACTCAAGTAAATCATGATGCACAAGTACACTGGACCTAAGGTTACTCCCAGAGCAAAATATTCAGTGAGAACAGAAAGTAATTACCTTATAGATTTGGTCAAATCCCTGCCAAGATTTCTGGCATATTTCGCTGTTCAGAGATGACTTAGACTCAACATGAGGAGTCCAAGACTTGACAGAAGAAGAATGTAAGGTCTTCAAGGTAAGGTGAACCTGATTGTTATGTCAAAGGCAGGGGTGCTAAAATGTGTGTGCTGCCTAATACAAGCCCATACTGGAAATGGAGGTGAGTCCAACCGAAAAAGCTGTATCCAGAGACTTAAGTCACAGATGAATTCTAAAAGCTCAAGTCTCTTCCACAGGTGAAGATACAAGTGAAACATTATCAGGAAGTCCAGAATATGAGGTAGAAACTCTTTGCAATTATAAACATTTCAGTGGAAGACTATAATTTTCTCAGTTCCTTGTGGATGCTGTATTACTACATCTAATTGGAAGTGAAAGCAAGAAGCCTCGTTTGGGTGTTTGAAGACAGTGAGGATGCTGGCATCCTCTTCCTCAGGGCATTCATGCCTGGAGGATCTTTGCTTGACATCCCCAGTCCAGAATCACAGGTTCATTTGAAAGCACTCCCTTCTGTTGCCAGCTCTTACACAGTGCAAAGCTCAAGGCCTGGGAGGCTGCAAGCCATGAAGCAGCCAGGCAAAGGCAGAAGCAAGTTGAGCTGGAGATTGGGAAGCTCCTTCCCTGGAAGATCCATGCTGCCATGTTGCCACCTGGGTCTGGTGCTGAGCATCAACCCATTGCGGCCCAGAGGGGCCATGGCAGAGCAAGGCTCTGAAGAATCACAGTGAGAACCAGCAACTTGCACAACAGGGGCATTTGTACAACTGCTATTTATAGTGTCTCTGGTCTTGTCTTTCTCTTCCATCGCTTCCTCTTTCTGTATCTTTACTTTCTTGGGAAGTGAGAACATGAATTGTGATGAACTGTGGTTTCACATATAACACAGTTGAAAAATGCAGCCAGGGAAACTGCTGCTTAGGTATAATTTAATAGTTCTTATTTTGTCTTCTTTTGGTTAAATTGAACAGTAGAAAGGATCGTAACCATGACATTCACCTGGTTCTTATGAAATATCGTTACCAGTCAGTTACTCAGTACTTTGGCAGGTGTACAAATATTTATTTATGTAAGTATTTTATAAAAGCCTGCATAATTATAATTAAACCTAGCAAAAATATATAAAAAGTTAATCAAGTATATATATAAAAAATATCAGTTGGGGCAGGTCATAAAGAAAAATAAATTAAGATATTAGGAAAAACATCCATTTTACTCTAGGTTGTTCACACTTTCAGACTGGAATGAAAAGACCTCAAAGAGAATTTCAGAAACCTGAAGTCTGAGCCTTGAGCCTTCATCCAAAATGTAATTTAATGTAAATGAACAGTTTGATTAATTTTATTCCTAAAGAGAAACCAGTATTTTTCCAAACAACTCTACTGAGGGATTTGAGAAATAACTATTTGTCTTTGCAGCTGTAGCCTTCTAATTAGACCTTCATTCTAAGGTGAATTTTTAAGCCCTTCAGATTTGAGATATTACACACAATCCTCAATAATCTCTTCCTGAGGAAATTATTGTATTATTTAATATTCCTTGTGTTGGGTAATTACAGCAGGCTTCCTTCCTCCTTTCCATTCGTTGTTCTCTTTATTTACTTTTTCAATAGGTTCATTCTCAGCTGACTTTCAGTGTATCATGCTTCAGTGAGATACAGCAAGAGCATGGCCTTAGTGGGATTATTCAGGATGGAAGATCTGGGATTTTAACACAGAAACTGCTGTACCCTTTCATTCAGTACACAGAGTCAAGACAAATACAGCATAGCAGCTGCCTCACAGGCTGTAGGAGGAACTGCAATGACAGGGAGGAAAAAAAAACACATGCAGAGGAAACTCTGAGAGTTTCCAGATAGCAAACACCAGAGCAGAGGTCAACAAATGTTTGAGATGATTGCAGGCAGTGCTTTTTCTCTGCCCAACCAGAGGCTGAGTGTCCTGCTAGGTGGGGAGAGCTCTGTCTCAAGGCAGGACACAGGCAACTGGTAGCATTTCAATTCTGTTCAAGGCTGTGCCTTTTGACTCTGCCATGTTTCCGACTTGGTGGAAGCTGGGAGCTTCTCGTGGATGCCCTCACAGAGCTCTTTAGAGCAGGTGCCGGCTCTGACTTTACAGGACCTTGAAAGTTGTGGGCTTTGAAAATTAGGAAGGATGGCTGATTCCCAAGTCGTATTTTATTTCCATAAGAAGGGAACAGTGAATAAAAGTAACATTCCTTAGGACTGGCAGCAGAGGCAGCATTTGTAAGGCTTTCTGAGAAGATATTTAGTCCAGTATACTGGGGTGGAATTCAAGTGCTGTGTGCTGTTCCTGGCTCTGCCAGAGTTGCCTATGACCTGTAACAAACCCCATCTCCTCAACTTGCTCTCCTGCCTTTTCTAGCACCATTCCTCAGACAAGCACTTCAGTGCTACACCCGTTCATGTCTCAACCTGGCTCCTGGTCAGGATGCTTTCTCCTAAGGCAGGGCTCATTCATGAAAGGCAGACTAGACTGCAGTCAGACTTTATTGGCTAATCCCTGTTTAAAGAGACTGGTAAGTACAAATCATATCATATTTGCACATTATAATACGATTATAATAAAATAGCACTTAATCCTGAGGCAATAGAAGATCTGCATACTTTGAAAATGAAATCCATAAAAAGTGAATCTTGCATTCAGAAAAAACAAGTAGCCTGTTTGCTAGTGATCAGCTTCGTTGCCTGGGTACCAAGTACAGAAGCTCCTTTTTGCTTCCTGGCAAGAGCCTGTGAGTGTATGCTGTATTTTATTTCAGTCCAGAGGCATTATGGCCATCTATTCATCTCCAGTGAAATGCTCCATTTGCTGCTTTACGCAGACCCAGGCTGGCATCAGAGACAATCCTGCCTGACTGTTGAGGGAACTCACCCAAGGCTGCCTCAAGAATCTCTCAAGGAAGGATTTGAATTCTTAAAAGCCTTATTGTCTTCCTAAGGCACAGCAAACAGTGTTTCCTCTACCTACCTGTTTTTCTGTAAGGCACTGAAAGAATGCAGGGTTGTGCTGCCTGGTAGCTGCAGGCGCCTCCCTGCACTGGCTGTTAGTGCACTGGGATAGTTGAACTGGGGTGGAGAAACAGCAGCAGGTTCTGTTGACTGCTGGACTTGTGATTTTACTAACCTTGGAAAGCTGTGATGACTTGCTGATGTGGTCTGTGGAGAAGACAAACTGGTATCTTGAGGCATCAAGCAGATTCAGTGTGATTTAACTTATCAGCTGAACCTCAGGAACCCACAGCAGTGCAGTTGTAATGAGCTGTAGTGGGACACTTAGTCCGAGCATTCAGGCTTTTCTTACATAAATGGCCGTGGGAGTGAGGGGGGTACACCCTAAGCTATACCAATTACCCACTGAATCACCTCAAAGGGGCAGCTGAGACCTTCCTTTAAAAGTAAAAGGAATTTTTGGGAGGGGTTTGTTCTTTTAACTCTTCTACAAAGCCACATTTTCACCAGTTAATAGTAGGTCCAGAGACAAGAATTCAGTGTGGAAATAAAACCCATCAGTTTCAAGAAAGAGCTCAGGCACAAGTTGTATTTACAAATCAACTGAATCAATCAGTAGTTTTAAAACTGCCTTTATGAAAAAAAAGATTAATTTCAAAATGGTTACAGTCAAAGAACTAAGAAATACTTAACTACATTTCTCCCAAGTCTTATGAATATGGCTTCACAAGACCATTAGAAATGCCAATACACTTAAATAGCTGCTTCGTCAGCTTATAAATCCACTTCAACATTCTGTGACTATGAATAACAGAAGGCTGCACTCCAGTTCCTGTTGTCTACTGCAAGTTCTCCAAGAAAACTGAAAGAACCTGCCTTTCATAGGCAAATCTACAAAAAAAAAAAAAAGTACCAAGGAGAAACTAAGCCTCTCTGCTCATTATTTTTTACTTAGCTATGTCTCCACTAAGTGTACCACACAACACTTGGAGGAATCTCATCCTCTTTAAAATGAATTTACATTACAAAAGACAAGCTGGAGCATACTTTGCTTTCCTCACCCTCAGAAACCTCAGTAGTAACACTGATGTACAACTGCAGTTCTGGGACTTACTTGAAGCATCTTACCAAAGAACTTTAGATTTCTCTCCAGATTTGTTTAACAAGAGCCATCTTAACCCTAAGAAAGGGCTTTGCCTCTAATGAGTTTGCACTACCATGACAGAGTCTTCTTCCCTTTTTGGTTCTAAGAAGCATGAAATGTAATGGATGAATCATTCTCCACGGGCTTCTCAGGAACTTGAACCTACCTTTGGAATAAAAAACAAGGCTTCCTACAGAATCAAGACACCTACTACATATTGGTACTTTTCAACTAGCTGCAAAGCATCATTCTGAACTGTTTGTTCCCACACCTTTCACTACCACTGCCATTTCCACTGGGTTTATTGTGTGTAACAGTACATTAAATGAAGCCTTCAGTAGCCTAGAGAAATTACTGGCTAATTATACTTGCACATCAGATGAAGTATTCATAGTAAAATTCAATGTGCTGGTAACTTTAACCTTCGTTTTGAGGGTAGTTAACAGGGCAGATACAGTAAAATGCTTAAAACTGAAACTTTTCCCAACTCTACAGCTACAGACTTCTAAACTGTTGTTCAGCCTGCTTTTTGTCACTTGCTTAAAACACCTTTCTTTCTATTAGTATTCAGTCAGACAATAAACGCTAGAGACACCTTTAAGTAGAAGATACAGGCTCAGTGCTGTGGAATGTATCTCAGTCTGCCTTTGCAAGGAAGCACCTCCAGCATTAAGGCCAGAAACAGCACCTATTTTATCCTGCAGCTATAACAAAGACTTAATACCAATAACAATGTTTTTAAGTGCTTTATATTTATTATAAAGTATTAATAATTGAACATATGGAAAATGATTCTCTATACAAGAGAATAAAATGACAGCTTTTACAAGTTATGCTATACAGTACATGAAATGCTGCACATTTTTCAGCTGCTTGGAACAGTATTTGCTATACAAGTCAAAAAGTGTAGACTTTGAAGTTTATTTATAGTACAGTGTGTTAGAAAGCACAAACAAGTAACATTCAAAATAAACAAGCTCCCAAAAATCTAAAGAAATCTTTAGATGACATGTACATAGATTATACTCAAGTTTCAATATACATGTTATTGTTCCCCACAAGATGCTCCACTTTACTGAATCGCTGGAACATGATGAGAATTGAAGGTGCAAGAGAAGCACCTCCCAAGCCACATAAGGACTGGATGGGCAGAACAATTTCCTGAAGTGTTCTCCAGTCTTTGGCTCTACTATTTCTTACAGCCATATATTGTGGCAACACAAGAAGAGAGACAGGCTTCAGTTACCAGTATTGTCAATGCCAATCCAATTATCTGGGGAGCTGCTAGAGCAATTCAAGGCACTCTTCCTAGTGCTGCCAGTCCACAGAACCCCCTGTGCAGGACACAGCATTTTAAGAGACAACCAGGCTGGGCTAAAGCATGTTCTTGCAGGACATGGAATGAACAGTTCAAAACAAACTCCTTCCGAATGCCCAGTTCAAAGCTCATTCATACTTCACTTCCCAGGCACACTAGCTTAAGAGAAACATTCATGCATGTGTCAGTAACACTTTAAAGCACTCTGCGCTTCAATGTGTTTAGTTGCTTCTGGTTAAAGTGGTGTAACTTATCAGCAGCTTTGAAGATAGTGTTCATGGGGCATGTTGAACCTAACCTCACAGTAAGTTTTTAAGCCTACTTCACAGTTTAGCAGTTGTCTCCTTCGCTTTTCCTTCTCATGAAGAGGAATGAATCATTTTTTATAGCTGTTCTGCTTACAAACACAAAACATAATGCCAACACCCCCCCCAAAAGTACTCACAGTAAAAGTTTGCTCTGATGCATGTGGTATTGACACTTAATTGTAAGCTTCTCCCATAATATAGCTTCTAGATTGAAAAGATTTAAAGATATTGCACTGTTGTATTTTACTTTTGCCTCCCAGTCTCATTCCAAGTATTTACGAAACTGTAAACAAGTCATTTTTATAGTCTTCAGTACTGTACACCTGCATTCCCAGAAACTGGAATTCAGTGACACCTTCGTTAGAGATACAGTAGCCTAAGCACAGTGAAAGTTCTGTCCAGCTGCCCTCTTCATACAGTAACCAACAGGCCACTCCTCCCACATTCACACTTTCAGCTTCCTCTTCTGATCAAAGTAGGCATCAAATCTGGATAACGCATATTCCTGGAGAAATAAGGGACATTTAGTACTCAATAAACAGCTCAGTTTTCCTTTTTGGGAAGGGGAAGTATAATGAAAGTATTAACTATGTTACTCTCATAACCCATCATCTCAATGCATTAATTAGCTCTATTTGGGAATGATAATCTCTCCAGAGGTGTTCTGGCCTCTTAAAATTTCCTCCAGTCTTATTTCAACTCTAACACAATTAACTGCTACCCAAATGTCAGAAAAAACAGGTACTAAGAAGGTCAGGACTTCACTGAAAAGGCTGGCTCCTGCAACAGTTCCTGCAAGATATTCCATGTACCTGACAGTCATATCAATTTTACAGTACACCAAACACAGATCAAGAGTCAGATTGATCAGTCTCTCAAGTACAAGCAGCTACCTGGCATTGATATTGTTGCACATTGAACATCAATATGTTGTTTCATGTGCACTTTGAGTACTCAGTTTCAAAATTCACACTCATTGCATGTTAGCTTCCCTCTTGCACAGAATGCCTTATTGCAGAAGAATGCACCACTGCAAGGCATCATCCCACTGCAAGACCTGACACATAAGTCTATAGACTCTAAACATACCAATGGGAAGAATTTAAGAAGTTTTTAAAATCTTAGAAGTTTTTTACGTTCTTAAGGAAAGAGCACAAACTAGTAACAAATGGATTTTTAAAATCTTTACTCCACTTAGAAGATATTAGATGTTATGAGAGGCCATTTCATTCACTTTCTGATAATGTTCCACAGGTTTAGATTACGCGTTTTTAGTTGTGTGAAACTACAATTAAAGAACTTACCAGGTAACCAAACTCAATGGATGAGATCTTTGCTTGTATAATAGACCACAGACCCCAGAAGAAGTGTGATGCAAGGGCAAACCTGAAATTACAGGGCTATGTTTATTGAGATACCCAGCTAAGTTGCAACACCTTATTTCAATGTCCTGCTAGAACAGTATTCCCTAATGTGGGCATGTCCACACCTTTTCTTCAAGTATGACAAAAATAATTCCATTAGCTTCCCCATGTAGTAGTATTTTGTCTATGCCAGTATTTGTGTATCACACATCTAAATATTACAATAGCCAGATTGTTCTTTACCACATATAAATAGCTTACAATCTCTCTTGGCTCAATTTTCTCCACCCAGTGAGGTAGTTTTCAGTATAGGATTCACAGTGGACCTGAAACTTGAGATACAGTTGTACAAGACAAGTTACCTGTTAACTTCTACCAAAACTTCTTCTTCTAGTTTGGACTTCTCTTCATTGCTCAGACTTTCAAAGCCATCATGGAATGCAGACAGGTAACTGGAGATAAAATGAAGCTAGAAGGCAAGTAAACAACAGAGTTACAACTCTGCATCTCAAGACATACTTGCTTCTTTCAGACATAGGCAGACCTTCCAATATGCTGCCATTTATTTTTTCCCAAACATGAAGAGTGCTGGAGTTCACTTTAATATTAATGGTGGTTCTAATAATTGCTTGGAAGTCTGGTTTAAGAAGACATAATATTAGGACAGGCAACATTTTGCTACTGGAAATTAATTTCAGAGTTGCAGTCTGCAACTACTGGACTCTTTGTGGTGGTTTGCTACATGGCACATAGTAAATAGTCTATCCTGAATAGCTATTAAGTTACTATGATTATTAAAGCAAAGGTAGCCAGGATTACAGGAAGTGTTACATCTAAGGAAGTCACGGAGGAAAGTTCTTGGGACACAATAAGTCCAAAAGAGAATTGAAAAGGACTTAAGATTTGAAAACTGGTCACTGGCATTTTATTAATTATGTTTTATGTGTCTACCTGTTGTTTCTTTGAAGGATATTTCAGAACACTAGCTTTGAAGAATGGGTACTTTTCATACGAGTAATCATACATCCATTCACAGAAGTGATTTCCAATGTCAAATCCTCTGAAAAAGAAAAAGAACCTCAGTATTAGCAAACTAACCATCTGTTTTTGTTTAAGCAAACCTAAAATCAAGTTTAAAAGCACAAGTCTACTCAGAACTTCAGTTTTGCTGAAGGAGGTAGAGAATTGATGACTAGAATAAAACTTTTTTGCAAGTTATAAAAATCATTTAGTTAAGATGGGCAGTTAAGAATGAAAACTACCATCTACATGAAAAAACTAAACTTTGCTACCAAATTCCATACCAATGTAGACAGTAAAAATACTTGAGTATGCACTACATCTCAGCATGAAGTCAGACACATCTCTAACATTATCACAGGCAAAGAGATCATATACAAAGTATTCCACATATCTACTTTTACATTATTGGAATTCAGTGTTTCATTATGTTCCAGCTATGGTAATGTTTAATGATCCCAATGACTTCACACACTTAAATCATCCTTAAAATACAGTTAACTAGATGACTGAGGGAAGAACAAAAAGCATGTTGTGTAACCATGTAGTGAAAAACCTCAGATTACTCATCCGCACAGATGAGAAAGCCATTAGACAGGACAGAAGGAAAAACCACAAAAGCAAAGCTGCCCTATATGCATGCAAACACATACAATACACCCTTCTCAGCTTCCCACTAGAAAGAAATTTTGACATGCAAGCCAGAAGCCATCTGTGCACAAACAAGCCCTCTAGTCTGGACAAGCAAGGAGTTCCAACAACTTTGCCTCTGCTGTGTGCCTATACTCAACAGCATCAGGACCAGAGTTGTTTTGACTACTTGTATTTGCTGACCACCACTAATGGCCCAGAACACAATTTAGAATGGACAGACAATCAGTACTGCAGCACTTGGTCTCCCTGTAGCATGTAGAAAGCAATACACTTTCCTGCTGTATAGAAAATAAAGTGATTTACCGGTAATTATAGCTGCTGTATTCAAAGTCAATGAGCATCAGCTTTTGGTCTTCTGAATTCTCTCTGCCTTCCAAAAGTAAGATATTACCTGAAAATTAAGATAATACTGCATGTTCAATAAGGTCCCAGGAAAATTAGAGAAAAACAATACTGTATATTTTAAAAAACATTGTTCAGCTAATCCCAGTTATCCCTTATACGTGCACAGAAGAATTATGGGTGTGCTGGTTTTGGCTGGGGTAGTTAATTTACTTCATAGTAGCTGGCATGGGGCTATGTTTGGATTTGTACCAGAAACAGCATTGATAACACAGGGATGTTTTCACTACTGCTGAGCAGTGCTTATGCAGAGCCCAAGTCTTTTCTGCTTCACACCCCACCCCAAAATGGGACTTGGGGGTGCACAAGGAGTTATGAGGGGGGACAGCCAGAACAGCTGACTCCAGCTGACCAAAGGGATATTCAAAACCACATGGCATCATGCTCAGTATACAAAGTGAGAGGAAGAAGGAAGAGGGGGGAACATTTGGAGCCATGGCATTTATCTTCCCAAGTCACCATTACAGGTGACAGGGCCCAGCTCGCCTGGAGATGCCTGAACACCTGCCTGTTTACGGGAAGCAGTGAATGACTTGCTTGTTTTGCTTTGCTTGTGGGCATGGCTTTCATTTTCCCTATTTAAACTGTCTTTATCTCAACTCATGAGCTCTCACTTTTACCCTTCCAATGCTCTCTTCCATCCCACTGCAGGGATCAAGTGAGAGGCTCTGCAGGGTTGAGTTGCCAGCTGGGTTTAGTTAAACCACAAACCAGAAAAGCCAAGTCGTAATGGCTGTTCACCAGCTCACTGAAAAGTGAGATATATATGATAAACCTTGTAAAGCTGAAAGAAGAAAGTTTTCATCTCTACAGGCAGAGGTAGATTTGTTCTCCCAAGTATCCTGTTTCTTAGAACTAACTCAGGTGGCACTGTCAGCCTTAGCAGTCCTTGCTGCATTGTTTCTTTCTACAGCTCGAGATCTATAGATTTTGCACCATCTCTCATATCTGTATAGCACTATCATTAATCACACAACACTTGGGACAGAAATTGCTTTTCAGCAGCCTGAAAGCCACAGTCTGACCACTCTGGTGTTCTAATATGTGGCATCACCAATATCTACAGAAAACTCAGGACATTGCTTTATCTGTGTTTCAATTTACATAGTCACTATAATTCATCTGAAAGACATCAAGTCTGCATTTCTCAAGTGCCAGTTAGTAAACAAATTCAGAGTAAGGTCGATTTCTGCAATATTTTGACCCCTCTCCACAGATACATCTGTTCTCCATGCCATATCCTTGCACCAACAGAACAATCATAGTATTTTACAGAACTACCACCCCCCAAATCCCCTGGAATTTTAGGCTCCACAGCTTGCCCTAGCCCTATTATGCTCTGACTCCTCTAGTACTGCACCTTGCCATATCAGCAATAAGACCTCAAACTCCACCACTACTGAGCTAGCTCTTCAGACCTCAGTCAGTGGCTTTTTTCCCCTTGTGCTGCCTATCCTTACGTGTCTCTTCTGCAGGGCAGTCCTCTTCCAGGTTAACTCCTCAGCCTTTGTTAACAAGGCTGGGACCCCTGAGAACAAAACAGCATACAGTCCCAGTACAGCATCCTTCCAGCTCAGCCCAGCTTACCTACTGTACAGGTGACAGGGAGCACACAGCATACCCAACACCTTCAGTCCTGCCTCCTCTTCATCTTTTTCAATAACTGACTCAGGAAAATTACTATTCCTTCCATGAGTCCCAGAGAGCACTTAAAAAAGGTGGATAAGGTTTTCCTAATGTTTCTTATCAGTGCAAAATGAAAACTGCTGAGTCAAACTACCTTAGTCTTCATTTTCACCACTCACTTTACTTTCTCAGTATCTTTTAAAAAACCTGAAGTATTATCCTACCCTGATCATGCATATTGCAGACAGCAAAGAAAGGTATGGTCTAAACAGAAACACCCAAGGCTCCCATCATCAACTGACCTGTGCTAACAGAGCATGTATACATGCTTGGCTTCACCTAGTTAGATACCAGAGTTCTCTTTAAAATCCTCAAGGGTTGCTGAAGCCAATACACTTTGCTTTGCTACTGCAGCACACCAGAGAGCACAGGCTGCTCTCCAGGGCAGCTGCCAGACCAGCATCTCCACAACGCGGCTGCCTGTCAGAGAACAAACAAGTAACCAGAAAAAGCTCAGTATTACACCATTGAACAAGACTGAAATATTAGCAGCTTACCTTCTTGACAGTCATTGTGGCAAAATACAACTGGTGATGAAGTAGCTTCAAGCACAGCTCTAGAAAGCAGCAATATAGGATCTTGTAAGTAACAAATCACTAAGTTCAGTTCCATTTCCAGGTGAAGACGAATTTTGTTATAAGAATTTGAAGTGCTACTCCTTCCCAGCAAGACTCTATTTTCTCAATTAGTAGCCAAACATCAGCACAATCAAGTTTAACTTCACTGATCAGCAAGTCAGATAAGCAATTTGATTGCATCAATTTGTAGTCGTATGAGACTCAGGTTGGCTACAGAACCAAAAACACTCCCCAGTTTGTAAAGTAAAATGAATATAGGGTGTTATACTGTATAATATGTTTGAACAAGTATACAAAAACCCATACAGAAACTGCAAATTGGAAGATAGCGATAAACAAAATAAGCCTACCTTAGACTTTTCATTTCCTCAGGGAGGTTGTAACTGAGAAGTTTGTTCAGTTTTCTGGTTTTGGATTCATTGGTAAATTTAATTCTCAGCACTTGATTTAGATACCTGTTAAAAAAACAGACAATAATACAGCATTTGTGACAATAAGTACATTATTATTCCCATACTATGTTACTTCATGTAACAGCTTCTAGGTACAGTGAGAGCTTGTGTTATTGGAAATTCAGGAAGAATGATCTGCTTATCAACATTACAACAGGTCACTTTTTTTCTCAAAGTATTGCATAACTTACTTTTCCACTGTTCCAAAAAGCCACTTAGGTTCTTTATTAAATGGCATTTTCATGCCATGAAATCTAGCCATCTTCTCAGCTATTTCAGCAGATATGTCAGGTAAGCTTAGTTCTTCAGTCCTCAGTTTCCTGCTCTGTAATAAAACACAGTATTCTTAAAGTACAGGTAATTGATTAATTACAAAAGTGTGATTCATTACAAACACTAGCATTAGTCTCTATGTAATATAGTGTAAAATAGTAGCACAGTACCCAAGAAATAGACTTTTTTCGTCCCAGATGAATTTACGAAATTGTTGCCTTGGGAAAAGCTGAGTTAGCCAGCCTCGTTTACTTATGACTTAATCAATTCTCATCTAGATCAAGACCTGGGGAGTATCACATCTCACACTAAGAATATCTTCAAAGCAGAATGAGTATAAATATTTAAGAACATCAAAAGCATCTGCTCTTGTTGCTGTTAGAGGGAAGTGTGACTCCACAGCTTCCCATGCTATGTTTGGTATCTAACAGGCTTTTTATCTTCATTTATTAGCCTCTGCTACAGCTGAAGAGTTTTTAGATATCTCTCCCTGGCAAGAGCTATAACAGGGCTCTCCAACACCCACTATAACTGTATCAAATTACAGCCAGCAATTACTACAAGCTGCCAAGTATTCCATTCCCACATCTCTGCTTTTCTGGGCAGTCCAGCGACCTTCTTGTCATGACTAATTAAAACAGCTACCAGCAGCCCACTAACTAATTATGAACAGGACTTACGGGAATGAATTCCTCCAGTCGCCCTTGTGGAAAGATTCCATACAGCTTTGGGCCAAGCGCTCTCTCTGCAAGAATGGCAAACATAACACTTTCCAGAACCATGGTTTCTGCCCCCTATCAAAAAAATTAAAGCATTAGTTGGTGCTTGCATGGAAATTAACTTGGGTGTACACAATAGCTAAACTGCTATGAAGTGAGACATTTTAGGGCTAGCTTTAAAAAGAAGACTCAACATTTTACTAGCCAAAGTTCCTTGACTAATAACTTTTAGTCAGCATGGGAGCAACACAAGCATTTTGCTTTCAAGTTTAAAGTTGGGGAGGAAAATCTGTACAGGTACTGTTGGTGGGTCAGGTCAAAGGAAAATGGCAAAAATCAAAACATCCTCTCCTCCCTAACCTGTGGAACTCTGCAAATTCATTTCCTGAAGGAGTTTATCCTACTGAAGTACAGGAACTACAAATATTATCCTGCATTAACTATTTTAACAACTAAAGATCACGGTCTTACAACAGGACATTTTAACAACACAAGTGAATAAAGTGAATGACTGAACTAAATTTTTCATTTTGAAGAATGACTTCGGATTCCATTAAGCACATTTTAGGTATTCCCTATTTTATTTTTTTTAAGAGAGTAATTGAAACTCCCAAGGACCACGTGTATGAATAAACATTATTCCTTTTCTACTGCCAACATACCTAAGTTTCAATAACTTTTCTCCAAAGTTTTCCTTATGCCAATAAACTTGGTCCACATGTAAACAATCACATGCAGACAGCTTTTTAATATGAATGTTTAAAAATTAATAGAAGTATGAAATGTCTCAAAATACAGTTTAAATCACTGAAGTATAACTTTCTTGATAGGCAAGATTATCTGTAAGTAAACACAGAAGCCACATTATAAATCACTACTTCTAGCAATTATGTTCACCAGAATCCAGCTGTACTCAAACCCTAGTGATCTGCTAAGCCTCTGCCTATTTCTGAGCAACTCATCTCAAAAGTCTGACCCATGACACTTCAAAGTATAAGAATTAAGAGCACAAATTTAAGAAAGCTCTCAGAGCCTTTTGCATTATTGTAGTCAATGCAGTATCAGACAGTAAATAAGTCTATAGAAGATCCACCCTTGAGTACGCTCCAGGAAGTACTGTTGATAAATTTTTATTATTGACCCACACCTTATTCTGACATCTTCAAGAAATTCTAGGATTTCATATGGAAGTGTAGTAAAGTTTCATGTAACTATGTTCTCATCACTGAAAGTTTAAGACAATTTGCATATGACTGTATTGCATCTGTTCTCCACCATTTTTTCATTTCAACTCCTCAAAGCAACAAATGCATTATCCACTAACACAATAAAATATGTTTTTAGTCATTTCACATGCCCCCACCACCAGATCTGAACTTTTCTGTTCAATTCTGAAACCTAATGCCAAGCACCAAAAAACAAATTAGATACAAGTTACTGAATGTCCACTCCATTATTAACCAATACTGACTTTGTCTGTGCCTGGTTTAACGCCAGAGGGTTTTAAAAGTCTGTTCCCATTAAGGTGTCAGTTCCTTGTTTTCACATCTTACTGAAAAACCAACTCATGGTTCTTGGATAACAGCAAGTACAAAAAATATTATTCATTAAGACGTCCCTTCATGCATCAGAAGTGACAACCAGAAATACTGACAGAGCTACTTCAATATTAAAAAGTACAGGCAAATATTATCTAAAACAGCAGTGTAAGAATATTCAAGTTTGAAAGCTCTGATACCTTAGTCTTAAAAAAGTTTAGAGTACCAGAAGGGCTGCCTCTACTGTAACAGAAGAATCACTTGAGAACAAGTCCTGTTAGAGCTCTGGAATAATACCATCTATGTAATCTCAGGCACAAAGGTTCCTGCCTTATAATACCTGATGGACCTTTTACCAAGTCTCCACTCCATACATTATTGTCAAGCATAGGTGTGGAAATAAACTACTGAAGGACATAGAAAATTCTATAGCATACCTCATATGGACACTGAACAAATCTAGGTATCTAACTCCCCATATAAATGTTCACCTGACAACTTTTTAAAAGATCAAGCATTGTAATCAAGTAAATATGTACCTCAATGCCTTCAAACACTTTGCAATACACTTATGCTGCCAAGACAGCTCTGAAGTTCTCAACTTTGATCAGTTTCAAAGAGATGCATTCATAAGCACTTGTATTTAAAACAAGCTTTTAGAGAAGATCTGACCACTCACATTTTTAAATGAATATTTAGAGATGAATGTTGCATTTTAAACCTACGAACTATAAACACTCTTTACAAGACTCTTCCAGTATGCAACTCCCATTCAGGCAAGGAGAAATCAAGTCTTTCTACAATTCAGTTGGAACTGAAGCTTCTGCTTTAATCCTGCTTCAACAAGTTCACTATAAAATACACAAAATAGTCATATTCTGAGGAAAATTACCCCTAACTATAGCAAAACCAAGGTAAAACTTAGATAATCCCTATTAAAAGACCTTATGATCTGACAGAAGACTAGCCAACATCTACTCACATTTGTCACACACTAGGCAGCTCAGAATAGCTACAATTCTAGTGAACCCAGAGGATTTCATTCTCTCTAAAGGATATCCAAGCAGGACACAATTTCTACCTAGGCATAGGAAGATTAACAAACTCATTCTGACAGTAATTCTTGACAACACTGATTCAACAGTGAAGTTTTAGCACTACAAAACTAACAGCAGAAAACAACCTACCAGCAGAGAATCACTATTTTCAGGCAACAGATGAAGACTGTTCTGAAGTTCAAAACCTTGTTTCCCATACTGCAAAATTTCTGTGAACTTCTGGCACCAGCATGGGGCTTGTTTGGGTTTTTGTTTTCTTTATAAAATTTAAAGAATTTTTTTTTTACAGAATCAGGGTGAGGGAGAAATCAAGCCGCCTCCACTTTTCATCACTGAAGAAAACTGAGGTATCAAACCAGTACATTTTTCAGTTCAGTTTTGGTTCAACTGATTGAAGCTGTTCCAGTAAACTAAACTGAAAGTTCAACAAAACTTCAAAAGCAGTCATTCAACAACAAAAAATTTAAAACCAGTTTCAACTCACTAGGAAAGAAAAATCCAAATGCTTAAACTGTTTCAGATGGTATTCCCATAAGGCAAAATATACAAGGGGAGAAAAGCAGCACTTATCAATTGAGTAAAATGTACTTTTCCCTAGTCACTGCCAAAATCATTACAGAGCTGAAAACCAATAGTACATAACAAGCAAGGCATCTGGCTAACATGCTGCATCCCTTACTGAAAAAATACTGCCAGGGTAGAAATCTACATTACCAAATCCTATTAAGATGACGTTATGAAAAGTTACACTCAGCTAAACACTATGCTTCATGACCAGAAATAGTTCCAAATGCAAGACCTTTAAAGTTTGCAGAACACAGATGATCCAAGCACAGTGCTAATCAGAAACACTTCATATTCAAGAGCAAGTTCTCTCCTGCTCCATTTACTTTCCTCAGAGGAGTTCACTGATATATTAGAAAATAAGGAATAGGTCAAGCAGAGTACTGATCTTCATCTACTAAAGAAGGAAGAGTCTAATACTAGAAATAGCAGTACTGATACCAATGTTTGAATTTAGGGTAGGATTGGGGGCTGTTTCTTCATGATGTGGAATGCTTAAATCTTTACAAACTATGTCCAGACATTCACATCATAATATTACTTTTACAAGTGAATAAATTTCTTTATTACTTTTTACAGTTTCTAGAAACAGTCCAGAAACTTTTTATAGTTTCTACAACCAGGTAGAGTAACTACTGGTTTAAAACAAGCAGGATCACTACATTTCCCTATAACATATAAAATTCCGTAAAATAAGCAAATTTAATTACTCACTTGTAAGTCATTTTCTTTCTGAGGCTGTACAGACTCTCCTTTATCACAGGACCTCTATGGATGAGAAAAAGCAAACACAATGAGAAGATGAAATTTAACATGATTAACCTGCAACCACCAGAACAAAGGGAGTAGAAGTGCCAGCTACAATTAACTAGAAGTCTCAACACTGTCTTGGATCTGTGACAGCTACAGCACTAGTATCCATCTGACCTCTGACCAGCACACTATTTCAACAATTCCAAAACCTTTCAAAAGGATGTGCCACTGAGACCAAGCCACGTATAAATACTTGATTTTCAGGTAGGTTTTTATTGCTTCCCAGTCTACCAAAATGAGATTTCAATGTACCATAAACTTAGAGAAACATTTTTAATTAAGAGAAAATGAAGTCCCTCTGCATGACATCTGGGATGATATTCTTCCAGCCAAAGCACTTGAGACACATTACAGAGATTACATACAAGCCTTAGGACTATTAAAAAGAGGCATGTTATGAAGGCTACAAAGCATCTACTTATTCCTGTTGTCTTACTTTCCAAATTTTTTGTGACTAGAATTTCCTTATTAAGAGCACACTGTCTAGGCTATACGTCCAATGTACCACTGGCCGTGCAAATGCAAGATTTTTCTGCAAATGAATTGCCCATGTAAGTTAGAGGTGTCTCACTGAGAACTGCAGTATACTAGCAAAACTTTAAACAAATTCCATGCATAAAGTATTGTGATAGGGTTGTTAACAGTCATTATAAAGCAGTTTCAGGGTATTAAACCATACCATCAGCAACTGAACCCTCAATGGCACATGCTTTTAATAGAGCTGCATATTTAAAATTCAAGATGTATTAAAAACCTTGTCCTTTAAAGGGCTTGAAGGTAAGGAGAAGAGAAAGCAAATATCTGCTTAGAATTAGTGACAGTTTGTGGCTGCTATTTATGTTGCAATTCCACCATTGACTGTTTAAACCAGACTAGCTGTAGAGGCCCATAAAGGCAGCCTGCATCTCCACCTTCTGAACACAAACATTTCATTCACAGAACCATGTGCATACCTTTCTGTTCCAAAGCTCTAACATGTCCAAAACAAGGGTGGAAATATGAACTTAGTAGAATACAGTTAAGCAACACCAGCTGCCTTAAGTACAATACAACAAGCTAATGATTTATACAAGCTATGCAGTTACAGTATCTCAGAAGCTATAGAAGAAGGATAGTTAACATGAATCGATGGTCTTTCAGCAAGTACTTCCCATAACACTAATAAAATAAGTTTAAAACAAAACAATATGGAAACTACTATTACTTTATATTCCTTTCAAGGAAATTAATGAAGTCCAAACATATTCACTACAGCTAAATGCGTAACTACTTAATAGCATTAAGGTCATTTACAGAGGGCTTCTCTGAACAAGCATGTCCTACATCAATACCACTCACAGATTTTTCTTGAGCAGTCAGAAGGTTACTCACCATCCAGGAGTCTTTCCTGATAAATGGTGCTCTCAGAATGGTTCAGTTCATCAGAAGATAAGCAGATTAGACTTTTCCCTAGAACCTGAACTGGCATCTGCTTTCCAGAAGTCATAGTGCATAAAGAGCTAGCCAGTTCCAAGAGTCCACCTCAAATTAGTGTTGGAGAGAGCCTAATGGCAGCCACTGTGCCATTGGAAAGAGACAGGGCTGTGTATTGCAGAGTCATCACAAGAGGAGACTTCTGCAGCACCCCTTCCTCTTTTCTGTTCCCTCAGCATGGAGCACTAGTGTCCAGAAGAGAATGAATATGAATTTGTAAATAACTTGCAAATATGAATGGGAGCTTGGAGAGGATCAGTCTTCACACGTGGCCATGTGTAATTAGCCTAAAGTTAGGGAAGTCTCCAGTACATATGGTCAAGGAGAATTAAGTAAGCAGGATGCAATTTTATGTAATAGAAGAGTTTGGTTAAACTAAGTTTAACAGATATTAAAGTAGTAGAATTTGATTGTTTCCTGATTGCACAATCACCTATGAGAACAGTGGTTCAAAGCAAAACATCTATTATGATGAGGCATTTGATCAACCTACTTAGCTCGCTTGTTCTTGGCTAAACCAATGCAAACTTCAGCTTTTCTGTAAATTAGAAATGGACATGTGTTCTGTAGCTTCAAGATTTCTTTAAATATTTGTCAGCGCTTCTTTTATTGTGGGAATGTTTATTCTCAAAGTAGACTGAGAAAGCTAACTACACTTTCAGTAACGGTGAACAAATATATGCAACAGAAGTTTTTAGAGTCTAATTTGTGATCATGTAAATTGATTTTAATGCAGGATACAAGATCAAAATCCTAGAGGACAGTGTACATTGATCTGTGATCAGAAGATGACCAGACAGTGTTTATGCATCTGGCAGTTTGACACAGAAAATTGAGTTCAACATGTTCTCCCTGAAGCCCCTAATTAATTTCTCTTGTAGCTGGAAGATAAGATCTGTATCAAAAATCCCAAATGACGCTTGGCCAGAGAATTCTGTATAGAGAAGGAACTTGCATTTGTTTTTTTCCTCAAATAACTTTTAGCTCTGCTCACAAATTTAACATTATAACTCAATTTTTCTGAGTTTACTCAGCTTTAATTTTCAGTACATCAAAATACTGCAATACCTTGATTTAGACAAATCCCTAAGAATTCAAATCTCAAGAAATTATAACATTACAAGGAACTGCCTCAGGGGTTAGAGGTGACCTGTGCAGGGGAAACTTTTCTAGAAGCTGTTAGAAGACATCACTTTGAATTTCAGTGTACAAGAACAAAACCAGATTTAGATTCAGCAATAATTATGTCTCCTTCTAAGGATCTGCAGCTGATCATCTATCCCTGTCAGACCTGAAGGAAATGACACTAATTTGCTGAAGTCCTAAAATCTAGCATGTGAAGAATTCCCAGTTCAAGCTCTACAAAAGCCACAAAGACATCTCTAATCCTCTTCATTTCAAGCCACCATTCTCTTATGAGGGAGCAGAGAAAAGGAAGTAGCAGTTTTTTGATATTCTGTTATTGCTGTAAACATTCAGATGCAGACAGTAGTAGCTGGTGCTACTTAAGGCTTATTTTTAAACAACGAAATCCAGTACTAAAGAAAATGAAAGCTGTAGAGAATGCTCCAACTTCAGAGATCTCATACTATACCGTGAATCGTGTCTGTCACCTGGAAACCAGAGTGCTCTAGGCACGATCGCATGGGCAAGCCTGCAGCAGAGAACACATGCATATACAACTAAAGTGGTACATTACCCCCAGAACACCCTTAACTCCACCCAACACAAATATATCCCCGTAAGAGGTGCTTGGTTTCTTTCAAGCCGTCTGCCAGTGCCAGGGATTTGTAGTTACTCCATGCTACAAACAGACATGGACACCAACAACCACAGAAGACGTTGATAATTACAGTTACACAGCAGTCTGCATTTTATTTAGTTACACAAAATAAAAGGCAGCAAGGCAGGTATGGAAAAGATTTACCACAGAACAGTGGCAACCATTTATACTTATTTTGCATCTGCTCACATAGAAATTGAGAGATCAGAAAGTAACATTAGGTATACTGGTTTGTTTTTCTCATTTATACACAAGATTTTGTTTTGGCTGTTGCAAAGTAACAGAGCCCCAGTGAATCAGAGTTCGAGGTTCTTTTGACATGTGTAAAAGAATGGGAATCAATCCCCAAGTTACCTTTTGCTAGGTGAACTTTAAAAAAAAAATTCACCTTAGTTTGAGCTTTTTTTTGGTTTTGCTATCTTATGTTGAAATCCTATCAGCATTTCTAAGATGTTATTCTTAATTTAAGTAGAAACTCTAGTGATCTGCATATGAAGTCCAATTTTAAAGTCTGGACATTAAATGGCATATTGATGGAGAACCTTTTATTTCAGTTGTTAACACTAATACAACCAACAGAAAGACATTTTATCACAAGGAGTTTTACTTTCAGTGCTCCCCTTTAAATTTAGTAACTAAGCTGGAGCAAGAATAAGTGAAGCAGAGTAAGACATTTCCCTTTTTTCAATGTAGGACATATCTGCATTGTGCCTCAAACATTTGAGTTTTAATGTGGTTAGTACTTTAACCTGTCACAAGTACAATACTTGTCTTAAAAAAGAAAAGTTCTGCTCAAGGATACACTCAAGAGAAGTCCTTGATTTATGAACGTCCATGCCAGTGCGACCATTCATAATAATGGCCAAGCCAGCTCACTTCATCACCCCCCAACTCCCCCCAGAACAGTCATGCACACAAAAAATTGGTTTAAACATATCAGCTATGACAGAGGAAGGCACAAAGCCTTCCCTATGTGGCAGCTTTGGCCAGCTGGCATGGTTTATATTGGATGAGTTTCATGTACTGACATTTGTGTCTTCCAAGAGTCATAATAAGCAAACTGGAGCTATTTTCAAACTGCAAAAAAGGTTCCTTTAAAAGGTGGCTCAAAGAATTATGGCGCCAGTATCATTCATTCTGAAGTTAGTAATCAGGTATCCATTTTTCACTTGTATTCAAAATTTTAACTTAAACCTGTCTTCTGTACATACAAGAATTTGGTGCAGGTTGCTATAAATATACGGTATTTACAGTAAGGAATGAGAGCTGATATCACTGTTTTATGCTCCAATTTCAACAGAAAGTAAAGTGGACAAGAGTTAAAACATGCTACAAAGGCTCAAACAAACAAGTGGTAACTACTAATACCCAGTGGCAGTTACAATTAAGTCATTGAGAATTAAGTTGTGATTTTAGTATAAGGTCTCAAAACTCAACTTACTTAAGCGGTGTCCCTTAATTTCTATAGGGTTTTTAACTTCAGTAACTTTACTAAAAAATATCAAATTACTCCCTCTTAACAGGTTTGTCATAACATTCTGCTTATGCCACCCAGAAACTCATAGGAATCCTATGTGAGGTTTTCAAAATATCCCAATAAAACAGTTTGCTTATATTTTAACTTGCATTTAAGGTAGAGGGGCTGGAAGAGACAAATGTTTGTTGACAAAAATTGTGAACCTCAATGCAATCTGAAAGTTTTACCTTGGGACTTTCTCTGCTTACTTAACCTTTAGTGAACTGCACCAACAAGAGCAGTCATTTCACTGCCACTATGGAAATAAAGGAAGTTAGACATCTCAAAAGATCCTTCAACACCAAGAGTAGAAAGGTTAGAAAGTTATGAACACACTTTCAATTTTCAAACCAAATTAGTTCTGATTTTAGAGCCCAAAAATTAATTTTGATTTCTTTAGTGCATAGGGGCACAGAAAAGCCAAGTTAAACACCCTGAGGGAAGAGGAGGACAACCAAATTCTAGAGTCCACTTTTCCTTTGAAATACAAGGGAAAGGCCACATTTCTTCACAGCTCTTGGGCAACAGAAGCTCTACTACTACAAGTTTTACAGCCCATGCTCCTATTCAAGCATTCTACATATTAAGCCAGCATTACATTAAAAACATTAATAATCCTGAAAAAAACCCCCAACCTTAGTATCAATCCTAGAAATCATTTGGAAAACAAAGTCTCTCACCACCATTTTTTTCACTCTGCTTTTGGTTTCTCCTAAACTAAAAACTATTTAAGCTTAAATTCATTAACTTTTACACACTTTTCTTGTTTAACTTTCTCAACACACATACAGTGGTGTAGCCAAGCATTTCATGCTATTTCAAACCACTGGAATATTTTACATATTTCTGGTAAAGTTTGCTACCACAGGAAAGTTAATAACTCACATAACATAATAAAGGAGGACTTTAAAGTCAGTAAAGTAACACTATCCAATGAAACTTTTAATAAGTTTGGTCAAGACAGCAGAAGCAGGAAGAATGGGCTGAAATTTCAGGAACAGTCAATCTCCTGCAGATATTGGATCAGTTGCGCAAAGCAAGTGACCGAGTACTGGAAGATATAAAATTAATGGATAATAAAACCAGACCCTCTAAGTCAAATAGAAACAATTGCCAACATACAAATGTCATGTTATGAAGCTGCAATTTTTCATAACATTAAACACTTACATTATGATTACTTATTTGCAATATATGTCTAGCAGAGATGGGTAAGAAGATCTGCTGTACAGTCCTACAGTAACAGTCTGTAAGCTTTAGAAGAGATCACCTTTACAAAATATTCTTGCTTTTAAACCTTAGTATTTGAAACAGATTTGCCAACCACTTCTCTTAAGGTTTGACAAATTTCAGTATTATTTACAGTTTACTAACCAAATAAAAGTAACATTAGAAGAGTTCCACAAACATCTGTTTAAGCTTCTGTGCCAGCTATGAGGCATATCACACATTTAGGAAAGCATGTTTTGGAGTGAGATGACTGTACAGTACTGATGTTCACTCTTCATTCTTATTTTAACACTAGATCAAGTTTTCCAGCAACACAACTACCCATGAGATCTAATAAAATACTTGAGTACTGTACAAGCTTGACAAAACCTTCAACTAATCTCTGAGATTCATAAGTGCTACCAAGATTAAAATTAAGCAGTTTAGTCTCTTGCAATCTTGCTAGTTATGTCAAAGTCCTACATTCTGTACAGAAGCAAACTTTTCTGAAACACGGCAGTCCAAACTTAACAGCATAAACAAAACATTACTGCTCAAACAGACAGCAAATGAGCCTTCAGTTAACACTTGCCAGCCAGGACCTGTGTAGAAAGGAGTGTAAGTTCTAGACAATAATAAACCTTAAAGAAAATTGCTTTTAGCTAGCAATCTACCCCCCCCCGCCCAGTAAAACACATTCCCCAAAGGATAAAGTTGCATAGTGTGTCACAAATGTAGATCTCCAAAGATATTACAGTGAAGCTACAGAAACCCTCCCACTCCCAAAGCACTCTATGTACTCACCATCTGCAGGATTGCACCGTATAAGCGCAGGAGAACTTTCCGTGGTTCATCTGCAACTGTCTCAATGGTATCAGGTAGTGAGCACTGAAACAGCATGTTGCTGAGGCCACCTCTAAAAGGAGAAAAATACATTTATCAGGTAACTTGCATGAGCATACATGTTTCATTTTCAACAAATTAGAGGTGCACATACCTTTTGGCACAATTAACTGGTCTACTCTAACAGGAAAAACAGTTTTCTAACAGTACCGATAACTCATAACATATATGTCTCAGATAAAAAAAATGGCAGCTTCATGCTTAATGTATAGTTCACCATCAAGATCTATTGATCCAAATCACAGCTCAAGCTATGAATGAACTGATGTGAAAATGTAACGAGTAACTAAGATGTAGAATTCTGTAAATTATTTTCAGTGATGGAGTCTTGTCAAATATACTTGGCTGCACAAGCAAAACAATGGCAGAATAAATTTAAAACCATGCTGTGAATACAAAAGTTTGAATTAAGAGCTGGTATCACTGGGATAGCAGCTACAAAGTTCAACTGTAAAGATTTAACCTGAATACCTGCGCTACAGCATTGCTGATAAAAGTCTTACGCTGTTGTTCTTAGGGACACACTTTCAATTTTGAAATTTACAATTAAAGTTCTTTATTTTAAACAAGTTGCTCATATTTATCAAGATAGACACAAACTAGGGAGATCTGTGCTTCAATCACACAGGTGTTACACAAATATGCCAGCTTTTCATATAATTAGTTTTATAACAGTATTTCTAAAGAAAAGGCAACAGCATTTGTTCCTTATGGGTTTCAGTCTAGATAGATTGGAGAAACTAAGCTTCTTGATGTTCTAGTAGCTCACTAAAAACACCTATCTACTCAACTCACATTTTCTTTACTGCATTGACATTCCACGTTCTTTTCATTATCAGTATGTTCATTAATGAAGTTCTCAAATTTCTCTTCTGCAAGAGATTTTACCTATAACTTCTTCCTCTCCTATAAGAGGAAAAAAGTACTGAAACTTTTGGTTTACTTGCAAAATAGAAATGCAAATCAGCTCTACTGAAAAGTCTTGTCTGTCTCGCCATTAAAGAAAAAGCTTTCAAAACCAGATACAATCCAGAGTAGCTAGCAGTAAAGGGATGAGGTAGCACGTAGTTTAAAAAGTAACTTTACTTACAGCATGCTACATAGTTTACCGCTACGGATTCTACTCTAGAATTTGTCACCCTGTGACCTTCACAACCTAACACAGTTTTTTCCTAATCACTCAAAATAAGTATTTAGTATTACCTTGCAGTGTGCTTGGATTCCAAGAATCCACGGCAGATCCAAAATACAGTGGCTAAAATGCAGTTCTTAATCCAAACCTGATATTCCCCTCAATGCTTTTTCAAATGTTCTTCTGTGTTCTCTTCCAGCACAATGGGCAAGTAGTAAAGACTTTCTGAAGAAAAAGGCTACCAAGGAGACAAGGGCTGGCCTACATATCCAAAGTCAGTGATTGAGAAGGAAAAAAGAAATCTCAAGAAAACAGGGTAGAACAGCAGCTGCACAACATGCTTAAGAAAGGAGACAGAAGAGAACCAGGTGGCTTGGCAGGCATCCAAAAAAAAGGATGTTTAGAGACAAGAGATATGAAGTAACTTTGAACCATGAAGGTGAACAGCTAGAAAAAAACCCAAGAGACAGATGGAAAGGATACCAAACAAAGAGCAAAGCCAGCTATTCAGATGCAATCTGAACATTGGTTGGTTATACTAACTTCTGGCTTCATCTGAACTGTGCTAAACAGATTTTTTTGAAAAAACATATGCCACCTTTTCTAAAATTGATGAAAACTTTGGTGAAAACATCAATATTTAAATAGAAAAACTAAACACACTGAAACCTACTTTACAAAAAAATACTGGACTAAAGCTCAAAAACCTGTATAGTTACATTATTTAAACACATGCTCAGCCTGCACAGAGCACATGAAAGCCCAGAAACACTTTTTTATACCAGACGAGACAAACAGGAGTGTCTTACTGAGGCTGAACTCCATTAAACAGAAGTTTCCCTATAGTTTTATGCACTTAAGACTTCAAAAGGTACCTCTAATCAAGGAAATCCATACAGGAGTGTAATAAAAGGCATTGTTCTCCTGAAAGGTCAGTAGACTCAACAGCTTGTTTAAGGGTCAAAAGGGCACATCTCACTCACACAGATAAAGCTACCAGTTAGTTTACTGCTACAAATTACTCCAAAGGGAAGCCCTTCCAACAGGGTCACCTGTATTCAAAGCTACCCCAAGCCACAGCAGTAGATGTGCTTATGTACTTGCATTCTGATTAGATGTGAATCTTTCTTTGCTCTCCAACAATACAAACTGCACCCCTTCATCCTATGATACCAAGTACCTGGCAGCTGTTCACGAATGCAATTTTGCACTCAAGACAGCAATACTGATGGACACATTGGAAAATGCACACTGAGTGCTTGACTTCAGTGAAACTAGAATCAGCAAACCAATATGATGCATTTTCTGTGGATGAAAGTGGTGGGAAGACTTTTGCCAAAAAAATGTAACTGCCAATTAGCATGGCAGTTTAAGTTTATGGTCTTAAGTTTCAGCCCACCTTCTCTTCTTCCCAATCTGGAAACCACCAAGCCATTTTGAAGTGGTGTCTTAGAAGGGAAGTTCTCAAGAAATGCAAAGGTAACTGTGCTAAAACATGAGGTTTTAGAAAATAAATACCAAAGTCAGCAGTACACATTAATACAGACAAAAACTTAAGCCAGTCAAACTACACATATATCAGACTAGTCTGTTCAGGAACTATATCAGTCTTCTAAAAATCCTCTCCTGTCATAAACTCCTTATGATCATGTCAGGAAGAAATGGTCTAGAAATACTAATACTACCTGCACTGGCTTTCAATGAGTTGCCATTTTTAATAAGGCTTTTAAAACGCATTTAGAAAGGAGCAGGATGGGATTTTGATCGTACTTTTATACATCAGGGCTCTGTCAAATTTTATGATTCCTTAGCTAACAAGGGTAGATGTGTGTATATTTCGTATATGAACAAAAGTGGAAACACTAGGAAAGCAAACTCAGGGGAAGAAGGTGTGCAAACAGGAAACTCTGAACTAACTCCGGTTTAGTTAAAATAAAATAAAGAGGCAAGAATCTCAAACACATTACATCATATGGCTTCTAGAACATCCCCAATTTACATATTTCTGCTGCCAACGTGCTGAGTCACGAGCACTCGCTACTATGTGCGCTAGAAGATGACTCACATCATCGATACATCGCGTTCACCTGCTGACTGCTCCATCCGGAGCAGCCGGGGCCGGGCCAGAGGGGCCCTTTTCCCCCGGCAGGGCGCTGCGGTCGCGGTGCAGCGGTTCGTGCCGGCTCCATCCCTTCCACCGCCGCGGCCCGGGGCTCCTCCCCCGGCGCGGGGCCGACACGGGGCTGTCGCGATGCAGCAGCAGCCACCGCCTCCCCCGCACCGCCACCCGCTCCGGCACGGGGGTGTGGAAGCCAGCTCGCTGCCCTCCGCCCACAGAGCCGAATTCAGGAGGGATTTTAAGAAATAAAACGAAATAAAAGTGAGAGCCCCTCGCCCCCCGCGCCGGGGGTGCTCCGCCCCCCGGTACCGCCCGCCCCCCCGCGCTGACCTGATGGGGCTGATGTGCAGCTGCTCCTCCCGGAGCCCTCGCCAGGCCCCCGGCAGGAACTCCTTGCACCACAGATACGCCCGGCGCTGCGTCTGGGGGTCGAGCGGCGGCGACTCTTCCTCGGGCGGCGGCGGCAGCGCCGGGGGCGGGGTCGAGGCGCCGCCGCTTCTGCCCGCCGCAGCGGGGTCCTTCCCCTCGGGGTCGGGATGAGCCAGCGGCGAGGGCGGCTGCCCGGCCGCGGCGGACCCACGGCCGAGGAGGAGCCCGAGCGGGGACGGGTCGGCGTCGCCGTTGCAGAACTTCGTTTTCATGGCGCGGCGGCCGTTGGGGCGGCGGGTGGGGGCAGCAGCGGCTCGCGCGCGTCCCTCCACCGTCGGCGCCGGCGGCGAGTGAGCCCCGCGCTCGTGCCCGGCCCCCCTTTTTATAGGGCGGCTGGGCACGCGGGCCCGCTCGCGCCTCACGCTTCCCTCCCGCTTGCCCCTGAGTGGCTGGAGCCGGCCCTCGGCTCCGCCCTCCTAGCGGGGGGTGGGTGGGGAAAGGCGGGGGGAGCGCGCGCGCGCCCGGCTCGAGGCTCCTCCGGGCGCCTGCGATCGGTTGCGCGCGCGAGGGGAGCACGAGACGCTCGCCCGCGGGGCGGGGGCTGAGTCCGAGGGGAGCGCTGAGGGGACGGGGGAAGAGGGGAAAGGGAAGGGGCAGTGCGGTGCGCCGTGCGGTGGAGTTCAGCCGCTGTGCCTGCGGTTATGCCGTGCTGGATGCAGCCGGCACCCCCGCAGCCAGGGTGCACAGCGTGCCAGCGCCGTTCGCCCCGTGACGTGCCACCGAAATATGCGGGAAACCCCCTTGCGGTGCGAAGTGGATGGCGGCAATGAACAATATGCTTATTTAAAATCTGCCCCGTACCGAAAGTTACCCAGTCACTTTTAGTTATCATGTGTGAGGGCTGGTTCATGCCCGCGTGATAAACTGGTCTCTCGTAGCTCGGGAGAAAATGCTGAACAAAAAGGTAAAGCGACAGGAACAAAAATAGCGTCCACACGCAGTGCTTCCGAGCTGAGTTTCTTTGGTAGTTTTGGCATTGGAAAGAAATGTTTTCCCGTTTCGGGAAACGTCAGCACCTGCCTTACGGTCCCTCCTCGGCGGCACCCGAGGGTGGGAGCGCTGATGTCACTCCCAGCTGGAGGGGCCGCGGCTTTCTGTCCCTCCAGCCGGAGCGGGTGGGGTTGCTGCCTAACATCTTATACCACCTCGTCATAAATGAGCAGTAAAGCAATAAATCCCTTTAAGCCTTGAACTACCTTTGTACTTCTCTGATTTTTTTCCCTCCTTTGGCTGCTCGCCCTTGATGGTCTTTTACTGTATATGAGAGAAGCTTGTGGGCTCTTGTAATAATAGTTGCCATTTATTGTGGTGATCGTTGTTAAAGCTGGGGATTGCTGGGTTGCTAGGGACTTCCTGATATGCTCCTTCCCTCATCCCTCCCCTTCACTGCATGGGCTGCTCCCTCATTTTGTCTGCGTGCTTCGTTTTGGCACTCTAGTGCTGGAAAACCCCCAAGTAGCCCAAGGATTTTCTGAGAAGTGGCAGAAAAACTCCAGATCTGGCTTCAGAGCAGTCTTTGTGCTGGCAAAGCAGCTTCAGCACAAGCGAAGCTGTTTTGGCTGAGACATACCAGACTCTAGTTTAGAGGCGGAGCGGTATACGAATTAGGGATGCCAAACTGGGGCAGAAGAGACACACATTTTCTTTTCTCCTTATGCTTCAGATCTTCATTTATTAAATAAAATCCTTGAACCTCGGGCACAGATTAGGATGCTGAAGAGGACACAGACAGTGACTGCTGGAGATGGCAATACAGGTTGCTGAGAAGCCCTTTCTTTTTCAGGTCCCTGCTGAAGTACTTGACAGCATCACTGATGTCGAATAGCTAAATATCAAAACACAGTTCTACAGATGGAAAGCTTCTTCTGCAACAAATGCTTATGTCTCTATGTGTGGGAAGAAGTGGTGAAAATACCAAAAAAAACCTTGCCTTTCACACAGGTCTTTCTGTTTCCAAGTGCTTGAGCTTCACACTGCTTTGTCATGATAGCATGAGTAACAGGACTTTTAATTTTAGTTTTTTTCCTAATTAGAGTTACTTAACTGATTTTTTTTTCTAGACTGCTATCAGTGTGGAAAGAGAAGGCAGTCAAATCACAGAAATTAAATATTTGTTTTTCTTGGGTATAGAGAATTCTATCAAGTTTTATTATACAAGAAAACTCTGACTCGTTGTTACTGGCCACTTCACTGATAGCTGTTCATATCAAGTCATACGCTTTGCTTCAAAACCTCCAGTAATCTCTTTTGAAGTATCAGAGAATTTAAAAGGAGATAGGAAAATTACGAACTATTTGTTTATATCCTTTTTATTACAACACACCCTTTCTTAATGTGAGTTTAGCTTGGGTTTCAGTCCTTTAATGAGTTCCGGTTTGATAAATATCCTGGATCCATATGAAGGCCACGTGTATATTTCCTCTAGACATTTGTTCCTCTCACTACACCCTTTATTGTTTTAACACTTTATTAGCCATTAGAAACTCGTTGTAATTTATTGCTGATTTTACAAAAAGGGTGTAACTCCTTTGAAAACAGTTCACTGTATTTTACAACAAATGTAGTCTATCTTCTGGGGAGCCACAAACATACAGAGCACACTAATGGCAAGAACAAAGTACTCAGGGTAGAACTCATGATACACATGTAGTGAGTAATCGTAAGGGCCTGCAGGTTTAGTTGATATGAAGGCAAATCGATATGTTATTTGCCAAAATTATTTTTCTTTCATTATGCCCAAAAGTAAATGTTGGTTTGGGAATTCATTATTGCTTAAGATGACTCTCATGTTTAAATTGTGGGTAGTAGTCCTTTCAGCCACGTTACCCCTTCCACTGTGCATTTCAAGTGTGGTTGGTTTGAGTGGGCAGGAAGAAATGTGGTAGCAGTGGCACAAGCTTGCTCTTATCGAAAGCCTAGGCAGCAGTGCCAACAATGAATGGTCTGAAGGTATGATGCAAAACCCAGCAGAGCATGTGGAAAGACAGCTACTGATGTCACTAAACAGGAAAATAAACCATTTTCTGCTCTTATTCAAGAACTTCCCCAGTTTAGCTCAAAAAATTCAGGAGGAGCAATGCATGAGAAATTTATATGCTCTTCATGCAGTATGCATTAAATGGATAAACAGAGTGACAGGTTCTCCTTAGAGAGCTACTAAGATGTAATTGTCCTAAGTTTTAAGTCCACATTCAAATAAAACAATCAGGAAAAAAAAATAAAACAATTTCTTCTACTTATATATGTAATATTTTTCTGCTCCTAAGGAGAAATCAATTACACTTAGGTAATGCATATAGTCAAATCAACAGAAGTAAAGCTTTTGCTAACACTGGAATATATTGAAACTTAAAAGGCATCAGAAAAAAACTAAAAGAAGAGAATTAAGTGCTGAATTATTGGCTCAAAAGCTCCAAGACTGACTGATTATTTAAAATACTGAACTCGGGTTTGAGAAGCCTGATTATGTTCTCAGCAGCAACTGATACCTGTTTCCATTTAGAACCACCTTGTTGTTAGGTACCAATGCAACAGCCTAACCCATGGATTAGTTGATCAACCAGCCATCTTCTTCAGTAACGGGAAAAGGCAAACGTGTCTTCATATTCCTTATGTCAAATTTTACACCATAGCAACCAAGCTGCATTAGCTCACTTTTTTTTGTATCTAGCAGACATCAGTTCTATATCTATGTTCACTTTCTGACTCCATCTAAAAGGTTAATTTGCTGCAGCATCTAATAAATGAGACCAATTAAGAGAGTAATACTTCAGCTGCCTGTATCCCCTGGATAACCCAGCTTTAAAGCCTGTGAAGGAAGTAACCAAGATAAGTAAGGTTAGGTCACAGACAAACACATAGCGACTAATTCTGCTGTAAGCAAGGTAAAATCTGGACTAAGCTCCCCTCTTCTGGTGTGAGCAGAGCCTTGAGACTTTGTATGACCTCTGCTGTCGATATGGAGGGACACAAAACTACTTGTCACAAAAATATCTTTCCCCTCAGACAATAAAAACTTTGCCCTCAACTCCATATCATGACCAGATAATCAATGGCTGAACAGAATATAATGGTCAGTGAGTCCGCTCCTTCCTTTAAAGTAATTGAGACACTTCTGCAGGTCTTAAAGGAAATTTCTACTTTTCACTGTTCTGAATGCAGTCTTAATCATATATTCAATCACGAAATAGTCAATCATATCTCTTTTCTATGAGAGTATAACATGAACTTTTTGTTAATTTATTAATGTGTGTGTTTTAGTAAAGCTTATTGGAATTTTTTTTCCAGTTTTCTGTAATGTATATCTGCAGCAAGGGAATTTGCAGCAGTTAGATTGATGATGATTTTGTTCACATCAGTTGCATTGTGGCAGCAGAAATTGCTTATTGCTCACAAAAGAGCTAAGTCTAGAATTCTGACTCATAAAGCACTTCACTTTCTTTCACAAGTCTTTCTCACTATTATACCGAGTGGCAGCAGATTTTACTGGTAAGATCAAATGCCACCTAAGGCTGGATCTGTCACATGGCATAGAGAGAATGATAGGGCACAGATACTTATTTCAGCTGAAAAGCTTGCAGACGTCATAATAGCAGGTGTTGATAAGTTGTTGATTCTTCACGAACCAGTAGCAAGTTGATGTTGAGTTTGTGAATCCCCTTTCTAAAACTAGTCTGGGGATGGAGACTTTGCCATGGGAACTGTGCAGTTGTTGCAAGTGTGGGTGATAGTTTAGGGCTGTCCTTGAGTCCCTCAGAGCCTCTTGGCTCACCACCTCAGCGCACTACTCACAGGGGAGCATTTTGCCATAGCAAAATACTCCCAGCCTAGTCCTGCATTCAAGTTGCACTTGGAGCAGGGAACCTGCTTTTGTTTTTTGACTCCTTGGTTCTACATCTGGTATGACTTTTGATGTATTTTAAACAAATATGAAGGCTGCTGTTTCTTATTCCCTGCATCAGTGGCCAAAAAAATGCTACTCTGAAAGACAGGGATTAGGAAGGTTTGCAGTTGTGTTAGCCACCTAGGTGAGATGCAGCTGCAAAAGAGGCTGCTCAGTTGTCCCCTCTTCCTCTTCCTCAGTGATAGGAAGGGTAGTGGGATCGTGGCAGACAATGTTCTTCTGTATCAATGTCTCCAGCAAAAATACTGCATGGAAAAATAGACAGTAAGCAGCCTAGGGAGAAGGGGGGGCATAATATTTCACCCAAAGCCCCTTTTGCTCATCTGTTATCAAGAGCATTTGCATCTTCTGTGCTTTGACATCGTGAGAGAGAGAATTTCAGGACTAAATTCAAGACGATCACAGGTTGTTTTATTTTACTGCTGTATTTGGTTTCCAGCACCAAATACGAGGTGCAACTTTGGCCCTTGCAGTGTACCTACCAGAGCAGACAGGGTTAAGGAGGGTAAAGAGGAGGGATTTACCCTAGGCACTGGTTGGTACTTGTGTCTCCTGTGAATGCAAGGGGTGTGTTACACCAGAAAGCAGCCCTACTGAAAGGATAATATGCTCATTCATTTGCTATGTTGGTCTAAGGTAACCACAAAGACCTAGAGCTTGTACAGTGCCAGGTACTCCGAGCAGTACGCTAAGATAACATTACCTGGCCCTAGTCCCAGAGAATGACTTTTCCCAGAGTCAAACTGACCAAGCCTTTATTATATTACAAACTATTTAATTTCTTACGCTGCATCAATTTGGTCTTATTGAAGAAACCCATCTGGGAAACTTTCTTAGGACCTCAGATTCAAAAATCCAGTAGGAATTAGCTAAGTATTCTCTTATGTCTTTTAAAAACTCCAGCCTTAAAACTCCTGGTTGTGTCAGGTACTGAGGTACGGCCCCAGCTTCAGGTGTACCTGCAACCCACAGAACAATACACCATGATTTGAGTATCACTTTTAATATGGGCCCAGTTAGTTCATTATTCTCTCCCATGAGTTCAGGCACTTCAATCTCTGCTTTACGTTTGGATAAAGAGTCAAGCTCTTCTACAACTCTATCCCAGCTCCCCACCCTTT